AGATTCAATGAAATATGTTAAGGTTTTTTATCCTAATATGCATTCTTAACTATTCAAAAAATACATTATTTTTCTACAGGTTGTTCTTTTATTTCTTTATCTATGTACCAGAACACTTGTTCACAACTTCATTCGAAGCTGGCAGAGCCAATGACGATAGAAGAGGCGAGATTTCTTATCAGTTACAGTCACACTCTAGGTATTGTCCTTAATAAAGTCTTTAAAAGGGTTTAAAAAATTTTATTTTGATAAATAATATAAAATCTTTAAAAGTTGGGGAATAACAATACAAAAGGAAAACAGACACAAAATAAATACACCAGGATGTGAATGTGTTGTACTAACACCCCTGGTGATAATTATTTACAGGACACAGCTATTGGCTTGGAATCTCTGATCATGTGTTAGAAGGAAGATGGGAATATTCTTCTACTCAAACTGCCATTAAATTTGACATGTTTTTCCCTGGACAGCCAACTACAGGAACTTCTGAGAATTGCATGATTATGTGGTATCCTCATGGGAATGAATGGGGAGATGAAGTGTGCTCGTATTCATATCACTTTGTCTGTGAACAAGATCAGTAAGTTTATTGTCACATGTATATTTTACGTAATTTACAGTGACGTGCCTTCAATTTTGAAGGAGGGGCCAGCTAGAGGAAAATTTTGATTCAATGAACAGTTTAACGGTAAAAATGAACAAATACGTACATTTAAATTGTTCATTATTACCATTAAACTGTTCATTGATTAAACCTTCTGCTAATAATGTTGCAAAATAGTTATAATGAAAATTATTAAGAATAATGGCATGTTTTTATGGTTGTTGTTTCAGGACTGGTCCAGCAAATGTAATTGGTTGAAGATGTCAGTGATTACATAAAAATATTTGATATTTGATGTTTAAGAAACTATGCCATTTTTTCAGTAAAGGATCAATTTTATTTATAATATGTATTTGATTTGAATTTGCTTGCGATAACAAACACGTTATCATGGTAATCGTCACAAAAGGTTTATCTCTGTGGGAGTGAAGACACAATGTACAATCATTTAATTTTTGTCTTCTTTTTTGCATTTGCATACTATACTGATGGTAAGTATATATATTCCACTTCAAACATTTAAAGAAAAAATAAAACTGACAATTTTATAAACAATTTATACCTTTCTTATAACAGTTTATTTGAAAATAGAAGTATTTAGAAAACATGTTGAGATATGTGCAGCGTTTTGTTTCTGAGAAAAGAGTATATTATTTAATTAACTAATTGGTTATTTTTTTCAAACAAACATATTCTGCAACATATTTCTTTTTATTTAACATTTTAACACTAGTGTAAATCAATTGCAAGGAAAAAGACTAAGGTATAAAGGTAAAAATAAATAGGACCTCATTTTGAGAGCAAATCCTGGTATCTTGCTTTCCGAACGTGTACATTGCAGGTTGTAGGGTTGGATTTCTCTAGTACTATGATAAATGCTACTTCTTTAGTCATACCGAGACCAATTGGTCTGACGCAGGGGTTAATAAATGATTCAAAGTATTTCATACTGTATTTGATATTTAAAGTTTAATATCTTTTAATATAAAACACATATAATTTAGAATATATGCCAACAATTCCATACAAAGGTTCATTCTCTATAAGGCCATTTTCCGGCCTACGATAAAATCACTTTAAAATGTGATTTTATATAACTATAATCATTCTAGTTCATGACTTTGATGTTTGTTTATCAACATCGATCATCTAAGTCACGTGATTTAGAAATAAAAAATGGCCGTCAGTTAGAGAAAAATTGAGGGTGGGTCTATTCAAATCAAGTTTCTATGCACATTTCTGAATGTAAATGATCAAAATTTGTTTTTTTATGTCGGAAATACATCGGACATAAGTAATAAAGTGGAAGATTTTAAAAATTTAAGGTTCAAGATATTTTTTATGACAAGAATTCCGATGCATCCACATTTTGCATATTTTGAACGTAAATCTTTACGAAATTCACACTGTATGATACTGAAAAAAGTTTGATTAGTATTTTATTAATAGTAATATATCATATATAATTTTATTATAATTGTATATCATTTCTATAGATACGTGTTACTTATTTTACGCATAAAATAACCATTTTATAAATGAGGTTTCTCAGTTTTGATTGACCTATAAAAGTTATGTATCAAATGTTGAAAGCACTGAATGGATTTTGATTGTGATTAAATAAAACTGAAATAGTAATTAAGAAAACAAATTCAACAATTGCAAAAAATAAAGATTAACAGCATAAAAAACATCAATGCAAGTACATGTTGACTATCCATATGCATGTTAATAGTCAATACATATACATGTAACTCAGAGCGGTTGCATTAAAATATACATCTCTGAGTGAAATGAAATATCGTCGTAAAACGGCTTTGCTTTTATTCAATTACTCGTGTTGCACGATATATTTAATTAAAAATGCCATTTAAACTTGATGTATTTACATATATAAAAGTTGAGACCCCCCCCACCACCACCACCACCGTTTCTAACTTCACAACATAAAATGGAGTAGAATTTTAACAGTTCCTTCAACTATGCATATCAGAAGTTTTCGTATATACTAGTATACGGACTTAAGATTCTACAACATCCCAGGTACAAAATGGACCCTAAGGGTTTGATGCTCCTTTCGCACTCTTGATACCTGTGTGTTAAATTCAATCTCCTTCCTAGTGCAGCGTCAAAAACTTGTTTTACACAGATAGTGACAGTTCCCTACCTAAGTCTTTAGCATTTAAAGTGAATATCATGGCTCTTTAGGATATTATTTTTTTTAAAAAAGGTCCGTCCCGCGTTAGGCGTTGGTCAGTAATGCAACTGTGCATAAACACTTGACCTTAGGTGGATATTCTTTTTATCTGGTTGAAATATCCTTAAATGGGGTAAAGCAACATTCAATTATAAATTACATATTACATATAGGATTCCCTCTCCTCCTTACCATTTTATTTTTTTAGACAGGACTACTGTTCTCGTAACTTATATCGATGCTATCAAAGAAGTGTGATGAATAGGTTGAGTCCTCTCTATAAACCCATACAGATAACAAAATATGGATCACATGTTACTCGTACGGAAGTCTCCATATAAAAATTATGTGTGTACCTATAGGAAAAAAGTCTATAACACAAATAGGAAATGCATTTTACTGCTTCAACAAAGATGGCTTTTAGCATTTCTAGAAGCATTTCTGTACGCATTAGGAAATACAAAGAATATATGCAATACTGATAACGGAATTTAAACAAGTAGCATATAAAGATAAACTAAACTATCATTATAAATATAAAATATTCACACCTTACAGTCTATAAAAGTTTTTATTTCTGAATTTTTATTTGACATTTCAATGAAACGTCTCCACTTGTAATTTCATGACATCCAGTCCTCTCAGTCCTTTGATTTTTAATTTTTTAAGGAAAAATTTCACATTTATTTTTAGTAAATATGCATACCTGATATAAGTGTTAGTAAATTATCAGAAAATTGTACTCTAACCAAAAGTTCATAAAAAGAAATAATCTACATAAGCTGATATTCTTCATTGTGAGTAGTTAGCTTTTTCTGCAAATATCGTAAAAATGAAGCGAAAAGTTTTTATTTGGATGTCATAACCACCTTTAACCAAACTCATAATTTGGTAGTCACTTTTTATGTTTATTAGAAATTTACATGCAAATTTTGGTGTTGGTTAAAGGTGGTTATGACATGCGTATGAGTTATCTAACACAGCCACCCTCTTGAGTTTTCCCATTACTCTAATGCTAATACGGACCGACAGTACCTTACTTTGTGACCCTATATCATTAAAAATACTATTGTATCATTAACCAACCGATATTTATCATTAAATTGGAACATAAGCCTAGTGATTCATGCAATTTTTAAGGGAAAAAATACTATCTGAAAATTTTAAGTTATTGTAGGCCGCAAAACGGCCTTATAGAGAATGATCCTTAGCCGAGCCGAGGACAGTTGGATCATCACAATTCCTTAGCAGCCATAGTGTGTCTTTAGGTGCGTTTGATATTTTTCCTAGTTTTTAATTCTAATTGCAATTGTTTTGCTTCATGATATCTAGTTTTCCTTTTTATTTCAACTGAGTCGAAGGTTTTTCTGATCGAAATTTGTTTGTTGGCTGTTGTCTTCGTTGGTATTGTCAGTGTCATAAGCTTTTCACAATTTTACCTTCTCCAGAACTACTGGGCCAGTTCCAACAAAACCTAGCACAGAGTATCCTTTTGGTGAAGGAGATTCAAGTTTGTTCAAAACAAAGTACATGCCCTCCTCTGAGGAGATGTAATTACAAATTAGCGAAAAAAATCTTCTCAAGAACCGATGGGCCTGGGAAAACGAAACGCATGTGGAATAATTGTCACATAGACTAGTGTAGATTTAAGTTAATTAATTAAATTCACGACCACTTGGGTTAGTGTGGAGCTACAATTGGCGATCAAGTTTTTACATAGAAATATGTAGGAAAGATCTTGAGAAAAGCAATGATAAGTCATTTTATGTGAAAGTATCCTCGAGTGGTTTAGATTCATTTGTACAAATCGTGGTAATTTAATGTTTACAGGGAACCATTTATAGTTCGTAAAGATTCAAGTTTAACCAAATCATGGCCCTCAGGTGTAGAATGTTTTATCAATTCAAGTTCAAATTTGTAGAGAAAAAGTTAGTTATTCAAGAAAAACATAGGCCTAAGCATCCTTAGTCAGCGTAGATACATTTTATTCCAATCAGACCCTCCTAGAGTTTGTTTGTGACCACTTATGCATTTCATCTTTTCAAAACTGAACTGATTTTTTCCTATAGCCACATTGCTCAGGGCCTCTTGTTATTGTTCACTGGTTGTAAATTTGAATATGTGGAGGAATTAATGCATTTACAGCTTCGTGTTATTACAAGAATGATAGATGCACCATAGAAAAGTGTTCTTTTATTGACTGTTCACAAGTAGAAAAGGTCAAAATATTATTGAAAATTACACATTCATCTTTACATTGACATTTCAGTCTCTTGTCTAAAATTATATATGTAATGAAACTCGAGAAAACAGTTTGCCAAAATCAGACAGTAGACTGATATGTTGATCAGTGAGATCTGTTTGTGTGATTCGAGATCTTAAATTACGAATCAAGATCTCGAATTAATACTAAACTTCCATAAAAAAAGAAAAATATATGTTGCTGTAGCCTTCAATATGACATGTTATTACATTCATGAACAGTATTCATTTTCATTCCTACACTGATTCGATATATCCCACTGAACACGAAATTATACATCATAGAGTCTGACACATCTGTTTATCCAAAGGTTTTGATGGCAAATTGACGCCAATCTCTTGATAATCGTGATGATTTCATTATAGTTGTAGGAACATACAAATATCACCTGAAAATGGAGATAACGTCTCACAATTGTTTTTTTTAAACACAGAAACACACTCCCTATATTACCAATTGCTAAAATGAGGCAGGTCATTGATACCCCGATGGAATAGCTGATGAAACAAGGAGATCAACAATCTCGTTTATAGAAACGTCATTGGCCAAATTCTATGGTCGATAAAATGACTTAGATGTCAAATATTATCTCTTGTTTTTTTATAATATTTTTTCACAACTTCCGCTGAAGTATCTGCTAACCCAGTACCAGCTTGAATGATTTCAGTATTCAAATCTTTGAGACTTTATAAGGATAAGGATACAATGTTTATAAGGATAAGGATATAAGGTTTATAAGGATAAGGATTATAAGGTTTATAAGGATAAGGATTATAAGGTTTATAAGGAGTTATGTTA